TCGGCCTTAGGTTTGCCGCCGTCTAAGCAGTCGTTGAATGTGAATAACGACTGCCGGACGGGATTGGAGTACGAGACGGCACTGTTGTCCACAAATGTCACGTTTCTTATACCCCACGCCTATCCATCAAAAATGTGTTTTACTTGTGAATAACAAACACAATAAAGTCATACCAATAATCCTCGGCCTACAGAACAGCCCAGAGTTCCTGAACCCAGGATAAGACACTTTGTGGCGCATATGGCGTCCAAATCGAGAGACGGAACCAATCGCCAGCGCATTAACTTGAGATTCAAGTCGACGGCCCCTTCGGCCAACCGGTGCGGATCCATAAGTGCACTCAAGTCGACCACTCGGGGCAACAATAGGTTCTTCTCGTTCTTCTCCCAACCGACGCATTCGATTGACTCCATGTCCGGCACTTCCGGGTTGTCCTCCCATTCAATGTCCAGTAAAAGACTAGTTTTGGCGGATCTGTCCCTCAGTCTGAACGCCAAAACGGCACAGTTATTCAATTTGAAGTGAATGGCGATGAATGCCAAGTAATTCCTTAGAGGCCAACCCGGGTATGACTGGGAACTACTGGAGTCGGCGAATGAAAAGTATATCTAAAACATTGAAATTAAATAATCATTTCAATTAAATTAACGTTTATAATGTTATAATTGATAGTTTATACGGTAATACCTTTCCATTTGGTGTGTCTTTGAGTACAGAATATTCTTGTATTGAATGTATGGTAACCGCAGAGGAATTGTTCGAAACAAAGACTAAAAAATATGTTTTGTTTTTCTCGTCTAATGTGCTGTTTATGTATTCAGAATGTAAAGCATTTATCTATTAATAAAAGTTTTAATTATTAAAATCATGATTAAAATAAATCTATCGATAAATACATTGCTTTCAGTCCAGACGTCAGACAATACTTTTGGCGAACCATTGATTGTATAAAAAGTTTTTTGGGGGAAACAGAGTCCGGGAAATGCGAACCAATAGTGAAACTTATATTTCTTTAAATCCTATTACAATTGAAATGACAATAAAAACATTAAGTTTTGTACAAATGATGAGACTTTTGAAACACATTTCTTACGGCATATACTAATAGTAAAAACTTTGACAACGATTTAGACATATCTTGAATAGCGGTTCCATCGGTGATATCCCTCCATATCTATAATTAACTGACAATTAATATACAGATTGACTACAAATACAGTACACAATCATCACATCCCATGGAAGTAGTGAAGTGATGAACTCTACCTCTTTTGCTAACTCTTTCATCAATAGTTTCTTATCTTTGACGGCAAACTCTTCAGAAGTATTGGTGACAATCAGTCGACCGAACAATGGATGACATTCTTTGCCCGAATCGATGGTACTTTAAATGACATACAAATCAATGGCAATCGATATCGTAATCAGTGGTTAATCTCAAGACACATACCTCTGGAAGGAGTCGTAGTTAATATTGAGAAGTGGCGGCAAATTTAATGACAAATCTGTCCATCAGTTCAGAGATATTTAAGACAATTAACAAATCAATTCATTTTAATCTTATGGCTCTCATCATCACAAGTGGCCATCACTACCATAACTACTCATGAGTTTGACATTGAGGTTACGGCACGTCTGATGACCAATCAGTGGCAATGGTAGTGAACATACCGTTCCTGTAGTGGCCGGTGATGTCAATAGGGCTGTCATCCAAGCGAATGGTATTCAACTTCTTGGTGGCCAATGAGTGCCAAAATCCCGTTTCGATGACTGAACGGAACGGATAGTACTTAACCAGTTGTGGATCAGTTGCTGGCGAAGACATGTCTCTCATATGACTCGTGGTGTCAAACAATCACTCAATTGAATGTCAATTATATGCAAAACAATTGATTCCTGTTTTCATCACAACTTCAAGCAATCACTCAAATGTTGGGTTTGTTTACAAACATTGACTCTCATATGACTCGTGGTGTCAAACAATCACTCAATTGAATGTCAATTATATGCAAAACAATTGATTCCTGTTTTCATCACAACTTCAAGCAATCACTCAAATGTTGGGTTTGTTTACAAACATTGGATTCAATCGTCGCATAAATTACGGATAAAACTTCAAAACTTTGACTTTTTTATGAAATATAAATTTGATTGAATTGATGTGATCCTGGTCAGTAATTGTATGATTTCCAATACTTGATGAGTTGCACATTCATTAACATTGAATGTCTTTCCTCTGACCGCAGAGACCTACTGATAGCCGACTCCGACATGAAATTCATTTGATTTTCTAGAAATCTATTAATAGACTCGACGTTCAGATTCGGGGCTAAACTTCTTCGCCGGTGTTCAGGGATTATGAGCGGAGAAAACAACGCGATTCCCGTCAATACAAACAGCGCCTGTATCAGGGGGTAGCCTATCAGATAAGAGTAACATTTTCATTAACTCTATAAAACCATACAATATTTCAATTTAAAAATTAAGTGCTGACCGACATTGTAGCCCATGTTGGGAGTGGTGACTGAACCAGTAATTTACAATACAGAGTCTAATTAATACAACTGATTCTGTAGTACTGAATATATTTACCAAATTAAAAAATATATTTGTAATTAAAACTAAACATAAAAATTATATATAAATTATTCACATTTGCTTCTAATATTAAATATCCTTGTTTATATGTTATAAATACTGTATAATATAATACTGTATTATTAAGTCCACAAGTTTATTCCCACAAAAATGATTTATTAATTTAATTATACATTTCTTATTAACAATTCTTTGGAACTTTGTTGTATTAAAACAATAATTAATAAGTTATTATTAATTTAATATTAATAGAGATTTGCGTTTTGTATATACAGTACAATAAAATGAAATGTCAAAATGAAAACCATATAAATGTTAACAAATGTCTCATAAATATTTGAGATGTTCCTATTCTTTCAACAAAATATTAGATGAAAAAATAATTGCATTTTCAGACTAATTGCAAGTTAATTGTGAATTACTTTTGGTTTGAATGATATATTCTGTCTATAAATAATTCATTGATGAGGATTATAGCCATTTCATAGTGTTTTATGACAACTGTTTACTGATTTGTAAGATTTCTATTTTAAAAAATATAGTGTCTAGATAACTTACTTCATGAATTACTTTATAACTTTTTACACAATATAAAAACGATGCTTTTATCAAGGTACAGTAAGAGATATTATAATTATTAAATCAAATTTTAATCAAATATTCTTTCCCTTTAACACAAAACTAAAAAATAAATCATATGTTCATCGAATGAAAAATATAATTCAAAACAAAAATCATTACAAAATTGAATGAATCAATTTTAATGAAAAATGGGAATTTTTAAAATAATGTTTTTGGTAAGAAAACTACAGTTATATTACCGGTAATTAAAAATTACTAAAACAGAAACTAATTGAAACATTTCTACACAAATTCACGAAACTTTAATGAAATAAACTGAAAAAATTCTGTTGTTATTGTATTAGATATAATGTACTCTTACTATAGAGAAGTCAATAATAGTTTTAAATCATAAAACAAATTATTAAATAATTAACAGCAAGCAAATTAGTGCACAACTATTTTCTGAAATTCACTGATAATTTAAAAAAGCAATTACTGCTACACTATATCAAGAGTACATTATAATAATTATTATAACACCAGATATATCACAAATAAATTAAACAAATGTTTGTTTCAAGTTTTAGAATTATATTATAATAAATAAATCGAAAAACAAAACAAATATTATATCAAAACAAAAATGTAAGAAAATATTAGCGAAAAGAAAATAATAAAAACAGAAAAACAAATCCTGAAAAAGGGTTTCAATACAAATTGACATTCAAAATAATTACGGTATTACGGGCTTTGGGATATGATTTTAGTCAACAATTGATTACCAATAAACTTCTTATATAATTCTCTATTAATTAGCTTTTTATGCCTTTTAATTACAATATAATTATATAATTATTTCCATTATTCAAATCAACAAAACATTTACATTATATTTACAAATCATAACCAAAAATTCAAAATTAATTCATTGTTCATTTGCAAATTACGGTAAAAACAATTTAATAATTTTCTGGTAATAACATTATATAACCGTCAGAGAGGTTGAGGTGCTCGACATATCTCAGGACTTTTGGGATTAAGGCAGAGAGAGAGAGAGAGAGAGAGAGAG